CATATATTGAAAGCAATAACAGTGCGGAAATGTAAAGTCCTGCGCTATTACAATATTTTGGGGGATGGAGGTACATTTTTATGAATGGGGTTTGCAAGTTTAAAATTCTAGGTTACTATTACACCATATTGAATAGGTAAGAATGTACAGAAAATATAAAATATTTATCTGTTTAAAAAGGAAAATAACTTTTGTTTAAGAAAATATTTTTTTGTCTCTCCCCTTTTTTAAAAGAAAATGTAACATGCAAATATAAAATATTTTTGGTGTTTTTTGATTAATAAGAAATAATATAATGGCAAAATAATAAAAGAGAAAGAAAACATAATCAACGCAAAATACTAAAAATAGAAGAGGTCAGAAGTTCTGACTCTGCCTTGCTGCACAAATAGAAACATGTTAGTAAAAATATGGAAGTTCAGAAGTTCTGGATCTTCTAAGAACTCGGAAGTTTTTTTCAGAAGTTCTGACACAACTGTCAGAACTTTGCCTCTCTCCATGTCAGTCAGAACAACTACAACTTAGTTATTTCTTAATAGAACAGAAGTTGTATACATAATAATTATGACAAATTTCATGAAAGATCAGAAGCACAAATCAGAAGCAACATGTATTTGCTAATTCTAATTCTGAGTCCTAATTTCTTTATGAAGCTCTGAATAGGGATTTCTTTTACTTAGGCAAGCAGATGCATGAATTTTCAGAATATGTACATCATCAGGATCAGAATATCTACATTATGCAAAATCTGGCAATGCTTAATCAGTTATGATGAGAGTCAGCAGAAAACTTACCTTGCAGCTGGAAAGGATTTTATGAACTGGAGGTTGGTCTTGAATTATGATGATATTCTGAGCAACTTCTTCACGTACTCAGTAGGATGGAAGTTTATAACTTCTGGAACAGCCAAGAGGTGATATTCTAACTCCTTTGAGGTGGAAATGAATGGAGAGTGTATGGCAATAGGAATACAGAAGTTAAGGTAGCTTTTAATGTGTGAATCAGCAACTGCATGGATGGCTTTAGTCAAGAACACTTGAGGAAAATAATGGAGTTTGAATGTAAGGAATCAATGCTAAGATTTTGGTATTTTGTGTTTATAGTTTTCTGGGTTCTTGGAATTTTTGTAGTGGTTCAAAGCTCTCTTTCTCAATTCTCTCACCATTTTCACAAATTTCTGAACCCTTTCTCAGTGGCCAATGGTGTTCTATTTATATGCAAAGTTTTTGTAGTTTGGAGATGTCAAGTGGTGTCAGCATCATATGCTAGATGTTGACTTACTCTTGAAGTAAGCTTAAACAAGTGGGAGTTCAATGCATTCAAGTTGGATGGTTAACAGCGCCTCAGCTGGATTTGGCAGCGTGAATTAAGGAAAAGTAGAAACAACGCATGGGTCTAGCATACTTTTGCATAAAAGTTTGTCTTTCCAAGACAGTAGGGGTACACGTGGAGAAAATCCCTTGGATAAAGACTTCACAAGTGGTTGTGAATATTAAATGGGTTCCCATGTGAAACTCTGCATCCTTGCTTGACTCTGGATAAGAAGTTTTGCTTCAGCGTAGCATCTCAACTTCTGATCCTCTTGTCTTCTGACTCCAGCATGTTCTGAAGGAGCTTTCAGACTTTCTGGAAAGCTTGCAGCATGCTTTGTTACCTTCTTTGATTTACCCTTGCAAACTCTGACTGAACCTTTGTGAACACTGGCTCAGAAGTTCTGACCAAACTCTGTCTTGAGAATATCCAGAATTTGCTGAGTGTGAACACTGGCCCAGAAGTTATGAAATTTTCATATTTCTTAAACACTTAGAGGAATTTCTAAGTATTTAGAATTTGACTTTTCCAAAGAAAAATTTGACTTTTGAAATTCTTGATGAAATAAACTTCATATTCCAACATGTCTTGATGAAATGTGATTTTTGAGATTTGATTTTGATCCAAAAGTCATAGTTAGACTTCTCAGTATGCAAATGACCATTTTGCCATTTGTGAATGGTTTGCTTTGGAAAAATTGATAACTCAAGGTTTGGAATTGGATGAGAGAAAATTTGAGGATCCAGGGTGATTCCTTGAGAAATGAGAGGGAAAATTTTGGGGTGCAACAACCTCTTAGAACTATTTTCGAAACAACACTTTGTACGCGTTCTTATAGAGACGAGAACCATTACAAAAACATTTTCAAAAATACTTTCAAAAACCACACAAAACACATTTTCAAACAAAAGCAAATGATCTAGCAAGCAACTAAGAGCCCATAGATAACTACAGATGAAAAGGATGCTAACACCTTCCTTTTTCATAATCTACCTCCTGAACTCAAAAAACATCTCTAAAGGTCTTTCATGTTCTTTTCAGCCCTTCCTGTTGGATAAAAGAAAAGTCAGTGACGACTCTTTTTATCCGCACAATTGCGATCAAACGCAAAATACCCAAGTCAGTTCTCCCACCGTGTCACAACATGTAAATACAATTCTTTTTCGTTTCAAATATGTACATGTTATTGTTCTTCTTTTCGTTTTCATCATTTTAATATGTTTCATGATTAACAACCTTCTTGGTTTTTGCTCTTTGTACATTTAAACATGTTTTAAGCATTAATCTAACCTTAAGGTGATGTTGGCATGGCCTTGGGCCATGTTGCTATTCAAACTCAAACGAAAGAAACAGGAGACAGAAAGTTAGAAACGAAGCCTCTGGCTTCCATACTAACCTCCAGGCCAAACGATAGAGGCATCCAAAAGGCACAACATGCTGGCCTCCAAGCCCCAATCGAAAGACACAACATGCTGACCTTCAGGCCCCAATCGAAAGTCATGCCTTCACCCCTTTTCAGGCCAGATCAAAGAGAGCCAGAAAGTGTAGAATCGAATGGTTGCTGCCCTAAAACGAAAAATCCACTTTTCTTATTGTTATCTTATTTTTGCCTTTATATTTTCATGCAATTCAATATGATTGTAATAGTGTAGGATTTTATCTTTCTGCACTTTTGATTTTATGCAAAATGTTAGTAATTATGGTGCATGGTAAGATAAAATCAACAAGTAGACCATCCTGATCAAAAGACAAAAATGCATGCAATCAAACACACTTTGCACACATGCACCTCTAGGATTAACTCCACTTGTTGCCTTATGAAAAATAGTCATGTTATGCATGTGAGACGTCTTAGCAAAAATAATCAAAAATACAAGATCATAGTCCCTCGATGACGCTTCGAATGTTACCTTATAAATGATCTTAGTCCCTCAAAAGAAATGCTAAGATATCTCACAACATTGCTATCATGACTATACGATGATCCACGCTCGTCCCTTTTACATCTAAAGATAAGACTTCTTACCAATCAATGATAAGATAGCAATATCAAAGAAAGAGAGGAATGAACAAAATATTTTTGAGTAAGGTAGAATGTTCTTAGTTGCTTGCTCATCTTCAAAACACAAACACCTTTTCAAATGCACCAACACTTTTCATTAAAATATTTTCAAAAGTTCAAAACACCTTGTATACATTCTTATAGAGATGAGAATCATTATAAAGTTTGCCTAAACGAAGGCGCTTTTCAAAAATACTTTCAAAAACCACCACAAAGCACACTTTCAAACAAAAGAAATGATCTAGCAAGCAACTAAGAGCCCATAGATAACTATGGATGAAAAGGGTACTAACACCTTTCCTTTTTATAATCTACCCCCGAACTCAAGAAAATAATCTCAAAAGTCTTTCTTGTTCTTTTCACCCTTTCTTTTAATGGATAAAGAAAAATTTGTGACGATTCTTGGTATCCGCAACAATTTCAGTCAAAACACAAAACATTCCAAATCAGTTTTTCCACCGTATTACAATATTCTTTTATAGCCGTATGGTGGTGGTAATGATTTTTTTTTGTAAAATCTTATTATAAGAGAATGATGCAGGATAATTTGGTGGAGACAATCACATAATTTAGAAGGATAATTTGGTGGAGACAATCACATAATTTGAAAGGCTAAAGTTTTTCTATAAGGTAAAGTCTTTTGCGTTGCGAATGATCCACAATCATCTACCAACAAGAATTCAACTTACCAAATCAACTACCAACAAGAATTCAACTTACCAAAAAAGATATAATACTTGGTGAAAAAGAAAAGTAAGAATTCAACTTACCAAAAAAAAAAAATACTTAGTGAAAAAGAAAAGTTGTGCGTAATAGAGAGAATTGAAGATATTCAACCTAAGAAAAGTTGTGTGTGTAATAGAGAGAATTAAAGATATTCAACCTATTATACTTCATTGCCCCTTATTCCGTAATGCTTGTTGCGATCATCTTTTAACGTTTTATGCCAATATGAAGAGAAAGGTGGCTTGGAGGAGAGAGATTCTCATTGTAACTTGTATGTAAAAAATTAGAAATGATATCATTTTTAATAATGAGGTTGGAGAAGTAGAAAAAATGATATTTAAAATCATTGTAATTTCTATGAATGATCTACATAGACTCTAAATTATATATAAATAAGTGGGGTTGTTTTGCTATGTTGTTTTTTTTTATATAAAATTGCTTAGCAGCTCTCTCACAAGTTAGTTTCTCCGCCATCTTAGCGGAACTAATCTAATAAACTTTCACTTCAAGTGCCTGCCTCTAAAGTAAATTACTAAGACTATGATTTTTTTTTGTGGTAACGCATTATTTTGGTCAAAGAAGAAAAAAAAAACATTAACATGTTATATACTGTAGTAACTTTCGGATAATCGTACATAACAAAAGACTAATACCATTAAGTTTGAGTGACAATACACAACCAGAGAAAATCTTTGACAAAAAGGTAAAACATTTTGTTAATAACATCTTGTTTTATTTTGGAATCCGTGCAAAGCTTAATCAACTGCATAACTACGGTTTGATCAACTGCATATCTACGGTGTAAACACATAGGGTGTAAAAGCATATCTCAAGGTAAAATTCACACTCCTAATAAAACAAAACAAAAGAAAACATCTGATTTTGAACTCAAAAGTGCACATCACATGTTTTTCTTAAGTCCATCCACAGTCTCCTTTGCACCATTTGTATCTTCCACAAACTTCCCCAGGACCTGTCCACCAAGGGTCTCAGTGATGACACGTTTGCCCGAATCATAAGTTTGAGAAACAGAAACACCTTCTTTTCTAGCAATGTTTGTAGCAATGTCATCATCGATGAAACCAGCATCCTCGTTTTTCTGGGCCGCAGAATTCATGAGCGAAGCAGGACCATCTTTTCGAGCATGTCCCAATGTTTTGTCTTCCGCTGATTGCATAATTGCAGCATCTCTTTGTCCAATGGGTTGATATGATAACTCACCAGACACGTTGAACACGTCGCCGTATTTTATCGGTTCATGCTCGGGCCTCCGTGGTTTCTCCTGACTCATGATTATTATTGAATTGTTCTCAAACAAAAGTTATTTTTTGTTATTAAATTTTTGGTCTTGTTAATTTGATTGGTTAGAGTTGAAGTGATTATTTATATAGTAGTGAAGTGCAAGAGGTGAATTAAGGTTGGTGACACTCCTGTATTGCAAGCGGTGAAGTACTTGCATTTGTTGCACAACAACCGCCTGTTCATATAGCGACAGGTGGAGAGAATGCATGGCAAGTTCTTGATCACCATGTTTTTTCTTCCTATGTCAAGATGCTTCTACACAAGGCATTATATTATTCCCTTCCTTCTTTTATAATTACTACTTTTAAATTTTTTCTACGTAATAATTTATAAATAAATTTAATTTTTTTAATATATTTGATAATTAATATATCTAGTCTATATAGATTAGATACATTAATTATCAAATGTATTAAAAAAGCTAAATTTCCTTATACTCCTCCTTTCAAAATGATCTATAAAAGAATTTAATTTTTTTAATATATTTGAAAAATTAGTTTATCTAATCTATATATAAATTACATATATTAATTATTAAATATATAAAAAAAATCAAATTTACTTATATTACAAAGGGAGTAAATTGTTGCGGAGAGAATACTGAAAAAATAGTTATTATACTTTTTAAATAATAAATTTAATTTAATTAATAATATTTTTAATTATTTATCACATATATTTAATTTTTTTCTTTCTACAATAAATGATTAATAATAATTTTTACAAAAGTGTAATTAATATTACTATCTTAAATTTTGAAAGTGACAATTAAAAATAAACAAAAAAATAATTTCAAAAATAAATATTAAAAAAAACGAGAAAGTATAAAACAATGGCTTAGGTGTTTATTCTTTAACTTACTTAATTGTTTCATGTTAAATTTGTATTTAATAAATATATTACTAGTAGATCCTCAAATACATACATAGTCAATAGGGTGGATTATTTCTGGTAATTTTTATTAAAAAACTCACTATATTTAAATGACTTAACATTACAAATGTCAGTTTTTATATATTATATGAATCGACACAATATCAATTGTATTTTTTTTAACAAATTAGAAAAATCTTACTAAATAACCCAACTTTTTAATTAACTTTTTTATTCTTTATATTATCATTGAGATATAATCTAAGTTATTTTGCCAAGTCTAAAGTTAATTAGTTTAGGATTTATTACTTAATATATAAGTAATAAGTAAGTTAGTTGTATATAAATATGATATCATATAATTTATTTTTTATCATTCAATAATATCAAGCTTTATTTCTATGTTCTCCTTCTTTCTCTTTTTATTAGAAGTGTCTCATTCACTAATAAATTGGTATTTAGAACTCCAATTAGATTTTTGATCGTGTTTTCAAGAATCACACGTCTGTGATCGTGTTTTCGGGATCGTGGGTTGTTAATTGTGTTTGCTGCAAAGATGAATGATAACAATGACATTTTGAATTCTCTTTCAATTCTTGACGACAAGAATTAGATCTGATGGGAAAATAGATGCAATATTCTCTGTTTGGCTATCATGAAATCTTAGAAGTGGTTATTAATGACGTCCCTGAGCTTGCTGAAAATGCAAATGATGTTCAGAGAGTCACGAACAAGGAGGTCAAGAAGAAAGAATGAAAGGTTGTATTTTGTATCCAGTCGGCAGTAGATGTGACAAACTTTGATCGAATTTCTCATGCTGAATTAGCAAAGGAGGCATGAGATATTCTTGTCAAGTATTATGAAGGAGGTGATACAGTTAAAATTGTCAAATTGCAGACGTTGAGAAGGCAGTATGAATTAATTCAGATGGGAGAAGAAGAAAAGATTGTAGGCTATGTCGCAAAGGTGCAGAATCTTGTTCATCTCATGAAATATTATGTTGAAACCCTAACTGATAAGTTGATAGTTAAAAAGGTAATGTATATGTTGTCTTCTCACTATGATCACGTTATCGTAGCCATTCAAGAAACCATGAAATTGAAAGATTTGGTTGTTTTTTAGGGGCACAAACGACGAGGATTGTTGAAAGGAAAAGTATTTAAGATTCGATACAAGCACTAGAGGCTCAGACATGGAAGAAAAATGGTGGTTCCAACAAGTTCAAGGGCAAAGGAGACAAGACTTAGAGCAAGAAGTCTTGGTCGAACCCTCAAAAGTATAAGGTTGGTGATAGGACTTCTGAATCCTTAAAAAGAGGATAATGAAACTCCTATTAGAAAGACAAAGAAGAGAAAAAAATATGCAGTGCTATAACTGTGAAAAGTGAGGTCACTTGACCAAGAATTTTCGGTACAGGAAAGACAATGGAGTAGCAAAAGGAAAGGATAAAGGAGCAAATCTTTCACGCCAAGATTTAGATGATTATGAAGATATAGGTGTTACAGATGGAGTTGTAGTTGAGCATGTCGACTCCAAGATATGGTTCCTCGACTTAGACTGTTTGAATCACATGAATGGTCAAAACGTGTGGTTAGTAGAGTTCAACGAGTCGAAGAAGAGCAAGGTCAAACTTGCTGATAATAACTCGTTACAAACATAACGTATTGGCGACATAGTTATTCAAAGGAGAAATGAAGCAAAGACTATGATCAAATTGTACTATATGTGCCTCGAATAAAGTGCAATTTGCTAAGCGTTGGACAATTGGTCGAAAAAGGTTTCTTAGTGGTTATGAAAGATGGAGCCTTGGAATCGCTTGACACTCCGAATAATTTGGTCTTGAAATCTCCTCTTTTGAAGAATAGGATATTTAAGACCATGACCAGTTCGATTGAGGTACAATGTATGAAAACAGTTGTAGACCACAAGAATAGTTAGTTATGTCATTTGAGGTTTGGCCATCTAAATTTTAGGTCCCTCAATCAACTGATCACTAAAGATATGGTAACAGGTATACCAAGTCTTATGATGCCCGACAAACTCTGTAAAGGCTTATTAGCATGGAAGCAGTCCAGAAAGTCTTTCGTTTTGACAATGCTAATGAGATCTTCCTGCATACTTAAAGTTGTACATTCATATGTATGTGACTATTTTGAGGAGCACACCATTGGTGAAAACAGGTATTTTATCTCATTTTTCGATGAGTACAGTCGAAAACTATGAATCTATGTGATCAAGAGAAAGGACAAATTATTTGAAATCTTTAAGAGATTTAAAATGTTTGTCGAAAACTAGAGTGAAAAGAAGATCAAGATTTTGCAAACAGATGGAGGTGGTGAATACACATCTAATATGTTTGAAGACGTCCATGCAGAACATGATGTCGATCATAAGGTAACTACTTATTATACTCCTTAACATAATAAAATAGCAAAAAGAAGAAACAAAACCATATTGGATATGGCGAGATTCATGTTGAAGCAGAAGAATCTGCAAAAATCCTTATGGGGTGAAGAAGTCATCATTGATGTTTATATTCTGAATAGGTGCCCTACAAAGAAACTGAAGAACAAGGTTCTTGAAGAAGTTTGGAGTGAAAAATGAACATCAGTGAGTCATTTGAAGGTGTTTAGCTCTATTTGTTACAAACATATTCCTAATGCGAGAAGAAGGAAGCTTTATGACAAAACTGAACCTATGATTTTGGTAGAATATCATAAAACTGGAGCATACAGGCTACTCAATACAATAAATGAGAAGATCTTGATGAGTCGAGATATTTTGATTAATGAAAATTCTGTCTGGGATTAGAATTCTGGTGATGCAATTAACAAACCATTGCTGAGTTATAACTTCGACAAATTACTTAATAAGGTCTAAGTCAAAGAAATTGTCGATATTCCAGTCGAAGTAGAAGCATTTGTTCACATTAATGACACAGTTAAAATCGAAGAGGGTATGGTTAGCACAATCCAAAGACCTCAAAAAACTAGAGTTCATCCAACAAGACTTCAAGACTATGAAGTGATTGGTGATGATAAAGTAACACCGGATGGAGAATTAGTTCATTTTGATTTACTTGCAAGTTTTAAACCAATCAGCTATACCGAGGCTTTAAAGAATAAATAGTGAAAATCGTCTATGGTCAAAAAGCTACAAGTAATCGAAAGAAACAACACATGAGAGCTAATAAAATTGCTAGCACATACAAAAGCTATCAAAGTGAAGTGGGTGTTCAAGTTGAAGCACAATGTTGATGGATCGATAGCAAGACATAAGGAAAGATTGGTGGCTCGAGGGTTTCTTCATAAAGAAGGACTCGACTACTCTTAAGTATATGCATTCTCGTAAAATTGGAGACTGTCATATTGGTTGTCACCTTGGCATGCAAACAAGGCTCGTCGAAATTTCACTTAGATGTGAAATCACCATTTTTGAATGGTCCCTTAGACTAAGAGGTCTATGTCATATAACCTCTTGGGTTTGTCATTCCGGAGGAAACAAGGAAAGTATACAGGTTGCACAAAGTGCTTTATGGCCTCAAGCAGGCACCTAAGACATGGAACAAGAAGATCAACTCATACTTAGTTGAATTGAGATTTGTCAAATGCAAAGTATGGTGGCTATGTTCAAGTTGTGGCACAAGATATAACAATCATCTGCTTATATGTCGATGACTTGCTTGTAATTGGAAATATCTTAGAGAACTTGTTGAAGTTCAAAGAGATGATGATGAGGGAACTTGAAATGTCAGATCTGGGAAACTTGTCATATTTCCTAGGTATGGAAATTCAAATTATCAAGCAAGGTATGTGCTACATCAAAGGAAGTATGTCAAAGAGATACTTAAGAGATTCAGGATGGATGATTTGATTCCTGCATCTTTGTCTGTCGAACAAAATTTGAAGTTGGAGAAACATGGAGAGGAAGACAAAGTCGATGTAACTTTGTTAAAATAAATTGTCGGATCTCTGAGATATGTCTGCAACAGTCGATCTTATATAGGCTTCTTAGTTGGATTAGTGAACAGGTACACGAGTGAACCAAGGGTGTCATACATGGAGGCTACAAGAAGAATCCTGAGATACTTAAAAGGATCAATAAACGATGGAATTT